CAGCAGTACAAAACGTATATTGTCGTGGGATTGTCTGTGTGTGTTTGTGCTCGCAGCAACTTGTCCACAACTTTCAACTCGGGAACCATAAAAGCTAGGAGGCTGAAAATTTGTGGGAATGTTCGCCACTTACGTGTGATCCCGCAAAGTTAAATTCAGCTTCCCCGTACCCGCGAATAACACGCACGACCCCGTAAAAGTTTTGGCGCGGAAAATCGTTGTCACGGAAGCTAGGAAGCTAAAATTTTGTTCATCTACGCCTTTTTAACAGTTTTTGGTGCGCCTACACTGTAACTTCTCAAATCATCACTTTTAGTGTTTGGTATTTGCGGAGCAGAAATTTTATGTAGTGGGTGGAACAGATGGCTGGGATTACAATATGGAAGTTCGCAGCCTGGAACCTGTATTTAGTGCCGGATATGAAAATGGCGATTGCGCGCGAAATCCAAATCACTGGAATTGGACGCTTTTGAACGTAAGGTTTTTTTTTCATTATGAATATTTGTCTTTTTTAGCGCATTTTTATAAATCGATGCAAAAATTGCTTATGGTGAAACCATCACTCTATATTTGTTTATCACGGTGTTTTTAACCCAGAACTATGGAAACTTGGGAGCTGAAATTTTTTGAAGCATTGTCAGCTGCGGTGTTGGATTCTTTACTCTCGATATCAACTATCGTATCTGCTGTAGATGGATGAATGAGACTTATTTTTGCTTCGGCACGATTCTGTCTAGTTTTAGCATCTGCACCCCGAGCAGATTGATAAGGGAAAGCGGGCGTAGAAGTGCATAATCGCACCGACACTTTGCTGAACTCCTCTTTTTATGCTTTTTTTGCAGCTATGCAATGCGGAAAACGCATATTGACGAGGGTTTGTCCCTGTGTCTGTATGTGCGTCTGTCCCGGTTTTTCATTTTAAGACTTATAAAATCTGCAGGCCTGAAACTTTGGGGACTTAATCTACATGCACGTACGGGCCCCAATCCCCAAAATGGGCACCATTATCCGCGTGGTACCCGCGTATGGGCCCGCCAAAGTTTTTTACGGTAAGTTCATAACTTGGGGATCGGAGAAGCTAGAAAGCTGAAATCTTAGGGCGATGTTCCCCACCCAAGTGGGTATTAACGAGCTCAAACCCTGCTCGCGGACAAGCGTGGTACCCACGTACGGGCTCCTGAAGGTTTGTTTCGGGTAAATTGCTAACTCGGGAACGTGGAAAGCTAGAAGACTGGAATTTTGAAGGAATGTTTCCTGATAGTTCTGGCAGCCAATCTGAAATTCTT